CGGGCAGCACAGCTTCACCGCGCAGCTGCCACTTTGGAGGCCGGACAGATCCCCGACCACAATGCACTGCTCCCCAGAGTTCAGACTCTGGTGCTCTTTTGTGCGAACTTGGACGGCTCCTGCTGAACAACTCCGGTAATAAACCCAAGCTAACTTGAAAAGGACCAGACTGGCCCTTTCAAGGCTGCATCATGGTACACCTGCAGGATATATTTCAACGAGTCAAAACACAAAGACAACAAGCTGGTGTAGAAACAACCAAGGATGGTTATATGCTTCAACCCACAGCTGAAATGTTCGGTTGTTTTGTTTTTCTGCAACCAGACACTCCATAGACTGGGACTTCACCATTAATCTAATGTCAAGCCCATTTTTTTCCCAAGTGTATTTAGAATGACTTGTGTTGAAGTGAGCTTTCACCAGTTTGATGATTACCATAAGTTGTGTCTGCCATCAGTAAGATGGAGCAACCAACGTCTAAGAAAGCTTTACTGAGAGCATCCTTACTGGTTGAAGGCGTATTATCTCGAGATCTCCCAGAGAGGCTGCTAATATTTTCTCGATCAGCCTTCCAAAGGCCTCAGTGCTGCCTGCAGTCCCTCCCCTAGAATGTAACGCTCATCTCTGTTGGGATTAATTGGTGGGACTCAACACAACAGAAACGTGTGCTCACATACATATGTGCGAATGCATGGTGGTCTTTTGCGGCCGGCCGGGTCTGGGTCCGGTGCCAGGCTCCGTCTAAGGCAGTGCACAGAATAAAGAGTGACTGTTCGGTGGGCCCGGTGACGGGATTCAGCCACTGTTCACCCTCTGCGCCCGAGACAATACCTATTGTTCTGCTTTTTAATGAAGAAGAGGGTTAGCTTAGTCACTTCCTGGGTGTCATAAAGAGATAGGGAGGGAGTTGTGTCTCCATGCTGGCAGATAGCATGCTAAATGATAGCCCTAATTTATGTATCGCCACTATCTGACTGGATTTAATATCCTGGAGTGCAAGATAAAAAAAAATCTGAGCATTACTTTTGACACCCATGCCACACAAAATGACCCAAAGACAACATTAATTTGTAGAGACACATGATCCAATGTTGTTGTCACATTTGTGTAGCTTCCCGCGAATGGTCAAGCTCACAATCTTGAATTCCAGCCTTGTAGACCAATGGAAGCTGAATGCAGGCAGCAGGCTCTTTCAGCCTGACCTGGCGTGTAGGTAGGCAGCCAGCTCGGTCTGGGCCCGTCATAGTGACAAATTAGATTTCAGTCCAACATGAAAAGCTACTCTAGTGATTAATCTGCAGAGTACATTTCAGATGCAGCACCCCACAATACAAACAACAGCAGCTCGTGGTACCTCAGCAGCCTTTAAACAAAGCAGCTTAGATGTAATCTGGGTAGACGATTGGGAAGAGCAGCAACAACAACAAGAGCTAAGCCCACAATGCCCCATATGGCATTTAATTGGGTAACCTCTCTGCCTCCCAGCACCAGTCATGATATTCGGTAAACACGAGGACCTTGAGATTCGAGTGGACGGTATGCTAGATGTGGGTAAAATTTCATTTGACGTCAGCTCTGCGGTTAGCTGTGGAGCAGACAGGAGGCCTGGGCCACATTCCTGCTGCACACAATCATTTTCCTTCAGTCCGGCGTCGGACGTATAGACTGGTTAAAGTTAAACATGTGACTCACAAAGATTAACGGCAGTCATTCTGCATGCTTTTAGACACTGACAGAGAGACATTAATGCCACTTTTCAGCTTTGCTAAGACCCCTTAAATAGCTCGTGTTTCATTGACTATGCAATAAGTACGGCATAAACTGATCCACTGGGACTGACAATCCACCAGCCATAAAGTGAACTCGCTGGAATAACAGGACTATGTTCTCATGCAGAATAAACACAGAGAGAGCTAAGTCATAATCATGGGTAACCCATCCCTGGCAGATTTACTCGGGTAAAACTACAGCAACCAGACAGGGTGCAAATTGGCAAATTACTCCCCAGTCTAATTACAGAATCATTTTACAATCTTTAACTCTGGCACAGGGAACCAACAGCTTGCCATGTACCCTTCCACCTCAAGAGAAAACTCATTTAGTCGTTGAATTCCCTGTCAGTCTTTGCTGAAGTCTCTGTCTATTTCACTTTCAGCCCACAAAGGCGGCCATTTTCCCCCAAAACACGGCAAATAAGAAGCTCTCCCGGAGCACAGGCTTCAGAGATGATACTCCACAACGACTGACTGCTGGCTGGTTCACAGACTGGAGGGGCCAAAAACTGCTTACCGACTAAGCCTTTCAGGTGTGTGCTTTCAAACAAAGAGTGTTAATGAGCGCCACAAAGACTCCTTTAAACACACACTAATCCCTTTACAAGAAGTGTCTGAAAGGTGCGTTTAGGTCTACGATTGGAAATCTGCTGCCCGCTTCATAATCTTGTGAATATTGGGTTTAGAGCTCCGTGACTTTGCGGCTCAGTCTGTGTCTGAGTGAAGCAGGGACTCACAGACCTTCATTTTGAGGAGTCTGCGACTCAAACACAAGCTTAGCCAAGGCCGAGTGGGATAAAATGCCCTGCTGCAGCTCTAAAGAGCACACTCAAATCAAACCTGCGTCAAGTTATGAAATACCTACACACACGCACGCACACACATATGTATATATACTTTAAAAGTTACTGAAGCAGCAATGCCAACATGTGAGATCACAAGATGTAGGGGAACAAAACCTGGCAGAGAGAGATTACCGATTAATTATTGGTCTATTCTGTATTATAAAGTTCTTAAATGCTAAAATAAAATAATTTTTAAAGAAAAATTGTGCTTTCAATCAGGCAAAACAGTTCGAAACAGGCGTTTTTTTTTGCCGATACAAGACTCTTTTCGTACGCGGCTCTCCACATCCCGCACGAGGCCTCCAATGAGAAGCTCAGATGACTGTTGTGGCCGCGGCTCCACGCAGCTCTTTAATCCACGCGGCTCCCTGCTGTGATGCAGAGCTCCCTCGTTAATCAAACCTATTAAGAGCATCAAGTAAACAGTCCTGAGGTTAGTCTTTGATCAGTAGGTTGGGGAATGTGCTGAATGAAGACCATATTCTAATGTGACTGATAAACAGAGTTAAACAGTGCCCCAGGTTAATGAATCCCAGAGGGCACATGACTGACAGGAAGTGATTAATGAGTGGGTGTGAGAGAGGTGTTCATCAGCAGCAAGTTCAAATCTTGACTCATCAACAACGGCAACTTTAGCTGGATACAAAGATGCCCGTGAGGCACCGCGCTCCTCGTCAGCTGATCAGGCTGAGGCGGGGTCATCAGTCGCACGCCGCCACTCAAAAGCAGCCAACCGCCACCAGCCGCGGCTGAGACACATCAGGGTTTAAACCATGGTAACCAACCCTAAACGTTCAGCTAACGGCACCTAATTCTTCTAATGCCGTCCCGCCAAGAGCTGAGGCATCGTGCTAGCGGGGGGGAAGGAGAGGGGGAGTTCCTGACACATGAAGATCGGCTTTACCGACAGTCCGCCCAGAGAATCCTCAGTTTAGACCAGTGGGGTTTGGGTTTTTTTCTACCCCTTTGGAAAGCTTAATGAAGGATAAGCTCCAGCGCCCACTTTATGGATCCTAATCATATTAAACCCAGAAATGAGAGGGGGGACACCGGGCTCTCAATGCTCAGCAAATGGGGGATGTAGGCGACTCTGAGGGCACATATGATTAAGAAGGGCAGCAAGAGCCCCTCAGTGTGTAATCAAATCTATCAAAAAAGGCAAATGAAGCCAGATTGGGACAAGCAGTAATCACGATTCTAACACAGCTCCATCCTCCCGTTCCCCCTACGGGCCCTTTGGTTTCAGGCTTAACTGCTATACTAATCTGAAGCACCAACATCAATATATAATAAGATTTTATCCTCATTAAAAAAGTTTAAACAAAAGAAAAAAACAAAATGCTTGTGAAAGAAAAAAAAAGTGTTGCTGGTGTTAAATCCTTCTCCTGGGCAGCTGATGTATGAGAGCAGTGGGTCAGGCAACAACCAAGTCTGGCCCAGATTTTGCCAGCTCTCAGATTTCCTTTCCCTCTAACTTTGAGCCGCTTTTTATCCCAAGGAGGAGCAGAGTTTCCTAAAGCCCACCAGCAATGGCTCAAATAATAACGCATTAGAAGAAAGTTTTCAACACAATCTCAATAGAAAATGTGATGGATAAACAAAAGTTTGGACTTACCAAACACAAGTTTGGTAAGTCCAAACTTTCTCAGAAAACAAACACTTTTTTTCTTTCTCTCTCTCTCTCTGCACCATTCTCAGCAACTAAAGGGTCATTTAGCAGGAGTGTTCAGTCAGCACTTTGGTCCCAGCCGGGTAACTTAATTGTTGACAGATCTGTTGACTCTTTATGGCGTGACAGGGGGATTCAAAAGCCTCGGCATGCTGGGCACTTAAAACTTCAGTAGTGAGCCAGTTTCTGGGCTCGTAAAGCCGAAATAAGGATGGATATAAAAACCTGTGGGTTTCAAAGGTAACGGTGCAGGTGTCTCCTCAGTCTGCACTTTCAAATTTACTGAGGCAGCAAAGCCAACGTGTGAGATCCCAAAGATTTAGCAGAAGGGAGGCAAAAACCTGGCATTTAGTGTAGCCTGTGGCTCTATCTGTTGGTTGGTGGGAATTTGAACCTTTTCTTCTTTAAATGACTGAGTAGAAACGTCCACATCAATTCAATTCACTTGGCTCAAAGTTTTTTAAAAAAACTCTTGTTTATGTTGTCTCAAAAGGATGAAGTTGGCCACAGCTAAAGTTGGCCTGACAAGTAAAGTAACACTTTTCAGTTCAGAGTTTTTTTGTTCTGAAGGGGGGAAAAAAACAGTCATCTGGCGTGCCGGACTAACTAGAGGTCCGACCTACACAACAGCTGTCCCATCCCGGGACGCTGGAGCGTGGGGGGAACAAAGAGGACACGCGTGGAAACAACTTTTTTTTTACAAAACGTTCTTACCAAAACGACCGCGAACCTCTCCTCCAGCTCGCCGGGGTCCGGCATGGGCAGTTTCAGGGGCATGTTGTGTCCCCTGAGGTCGGCGTGCTGGTCCATGCTCCCCGCGTTCCCCATGTTTGCTGCTTCACGCCTCGCGAGCGGGCACAACTTCTCACCCCTCGCTGACTTGGGGAGAAACCTCCACACGGCGAGAAAAGGGGGTGGAGGGCTGGGGGGTAAAAAAGAAACCCGCACGCCCTTTGGCGTGCTCAGTTGCCCTCTCAGGCTCCCAGCTGCTCTATCCAGGTCACTTCTTCTTCTTCTTCTTCTTCTTCTTCAATATAAAACACATGAGCGCGAGGCAGCATCGCGCGACGGGTCCGAGCGGCGGCGGCGGAGCCCCTGCTGAGACATTTTCACGGCGGGGGAAGGAAACCTGGAAGCGTGAACTAAATCCACACGGACCTTCTCCTCGCCGTTATCCGTATCTTGCACAATTCGGGCTCCACTCCCAGACGGTAGGAATGACGACGGGCATGATTCACCCTTATTGCAATCCCCCCCTCCCGCCTGCTCGTGGTGACTGCGCGGAGCTGGCTTTCCTAATCTCCACACTGCTGACCAACTTGATAAGGAGGGGAGGGGAAGGGGGGCTCTCTCTCTCTCTCTCTCTCTCTCTCTCTGTGTCGCTCTCTCACACACACAAACACACACGCACACACACGCTCCGAGGCTTCACGCACACTCTGCCCTCTCTACAATGAGCCTTTTCAGGGGCAAACCTCCCACTTCTTCTCGGGGCGTAGCTCCCAAAGCCGTAGCCAAGGAGATGATTTTTTGGGGGGGCGTTGCATTGTGGTACTTTGAGTCTATTGTGAGAGACACCTCAGGCCAGGAGCCCCTCAAGGACCTCTCACATCTGGATGATGACAGACAGCATAGAATTAACTGTGTTCAGTTGTGGAAAGTTACTAAGAACGCTACTTTACTCCACTTCTATATGCCATTTGAAGATTAGACACTCTGTGACAATTCTCTAACTTTAATCAGGAAGCTTTTCAGTAAAGTGTAAGCATCTCCTAATAAAGCTGTCCAACAAACAATAAAGTTATATATGAGAAAAAAACATTGATATTTTCAGTCAATTCTTGAGTTATATTCTGCTGTTACTTGGACTTGTTGGACCTCAATATGGAAATTGTTGTTTTACTTTTGGAGGACAGATTTCTTGCATGATAACTCAAAATATTGTTTGAAAAAAAACTGTTGATAATACCTTCAAATTTATTCAAAGTTTTTCAGAGATTGTTTGGGTTTGGGAACACATTTCCATTTATATGGACATTTTATCAAAGGATATGTACATTTTTAAAGTGGGAAAATGAATTGGGGAGACTTGGTGTCTCAAAGATGGCAAAGGGTCCAGGTCCTCTAGTTCCAAAACAAGCCCAAATCATCAGCCGTCCACCACTGTGCTTTACAGTAAGTATGTGGTTGTTTGTTTTTTTCCAAATGGGGGTGCTGTGTTACACACAGCTCCTGCATTTCGGCTTAGGTTTTCTTAAATGTCTCAATTTTATTCAGATATTCTTCCATGGCTCTGGTGTTATGGACGTTGTTTCAATGTCATGATATTATCAGTATGACTAACATCCCGTAAATTCCCTCTCAAATTTAAACAGACCAACATTTTTGGTTTAAAAAAAAACATCCGGAATACAAGTCCCCAGGCAGTGTCTGCAGGCCTGAATAGTTTGGAGAGGATCCACTACATTGGCCACACATTACAGACAGTCCTCAATCTTCTTTTTTTCCCACTTAAGTGTTTTCAACAAACATTACAAAGAAATCTGATCTTTTCAGGGTGTGGACCACATTATGTTCTAGAAGATGACATCAGCAAGCATAGTTCTGGAGAACATCCAGAGGTTCCCCACATGCACAGTGGTTTCATTCAGGATGTTGGACCGGTTCCACTGGGGAGGATGTCACATCTGAGGTTAGCTGGCTGGACACACCGAAGACTCAAAACACAGCTGACTGACCTCATGCAATTGTTACGTATTCCCAGTTAAGATGATGACCCCTCCCCCTTTGCCGCGTACATTATGTGTACCACATGTCTGACTGCCTGATGGGTTTTAAATTGACTTAAATCATGCACCTCATTGCCGTGTTTTTTGTAGCCTGCTTATAGCTCAACAATTTTCTATGCAGATCTTCATCATAGATACTTAAGTTGGAGTTGTTGGAATTCCTCATGGCTCCATGTTTCCTGTGTGGTTATCTTATTAAACATAAACTGACATAGAGCTATGCAGTTACCAGCCATCTTAAAGAGATGACCATGGTATTGTTTGGTCCGGCTAATTGCCGTTGCCTGGTCTTGATGTTAATGTGCCTTTTTTGTTTTTTGGAAAACATGAATAAATAAAGTGAAACTGGAACTTATGGGGCCTCTTGAGGTAAGCATCAAGTACAAATGGATTCACTTTTTGGACATCTATGACAGTCTGAGGCTTATTCTGGTCAACATCAACACAAGCTGACATTTGATGCATTTTTCATGAATATACAATCTCACTATTTGATCCCAAATGCAGGTAAAAAGTGGATTTATATGTAGGCGAACTTAAAAATCCACTTATCTGAAGAAATAAGCAGTCCTCTGTCCACTGAGAGAAAACCAGCACTCAACTCAAGCTAGACAATGACTATACATGCAAGAAACAATTAGACAGCAGTTCTCTGGTAGCTGTGGAGTGAAACAAACCCGGCCGTGTGCCGATTCACAGGCCTTTTTGCAGCTGATGGTGGGGTGACAAATAAAAAACCAAGAATGAGGTAATCAGAAGAATTCTTCTACATTTCCTAGTTACCTCCAAAAGTAATTTTTCCTCATAATATAAATTGCTTCCTCTGGCAAACCTTAGAAGTGTGACTAAAACCAAAGTGGTGGAATTGGCTCATGTCAAAAGCTCTAACCTAATCATGCTAAAGAGAAATAAATACTTAATTTTACTTTAAAGATTCTTTAAGTGGGCCATTATAACAGCAGGCTGTATGCTAAGGGGGGCTGTTTATTAAACCCCCGCAGGAGGTCACATGTATGGGCGGTTTGGGCATCTTGCAGCTGATTCTGGGGAAATATGACCGACTTCTGATTCCTCCATGAGGATATATAAAATGTAAAATGGGTGCCAAAAATAAATGCAGCACAATAAGCCGACTGTGCGAGGACTCGCGGGGAGTTCACTTGGCTGCTCTGCACGCAACATCTGTGAAATCAAGGTCACTTAAATCAGAATAAGACATTTTTCACTCTCACTGGACTCAGAAACAAATGTGCCTGTATTTTCAGCTCTGGATACTATAATCCAGTGATTTCAGCAGTTGGTGTAACTTTTCTTCAAATCTTTAGGATAATGGTACCCTCTAGTGTATAACAATGCAATAACCACTTTGAACAGGTTTTCAAAAAAAAAAAAAAAGTAAATCATTTCACTCCAAAGCATTTTCAAGTAAATAGAAGCCAGTGTACAATTCAAGAGGTATCAAACTATATTTATTGTATACAGAATAGGGACAAATAATGTACAAAAAAAGTCACCATGCAACCGTAAATATTTCATGTTTTGATTGCTGGTGGTCATTTATATTTATATATATATAAAAAAAAGTACTAAAACTGAAAAAAAAAAAAAAGCTTTTTACAAACTTACTTAAAATTGGCAACTCAGTATGCATGACAGACTGTGTACAGTGATGGAAATATTTAACTTCCGCAGAATATTGACTTTAAAGTTAAAGGTTCTTTTATCCCTGTCCTGAAAAGGTGCTAAATGATTCAATTTACACACGAGAACAGTTCTCCCGTGTGGGAAAGCATGAAGCACTAATATACCAAACATGAACTTTTACATCTACACTTCAATAAAACTCTTTTTGACATTTTTGGTCCAGATACCTTGTTGTACTTTATTTACCAAACAGTTAAAATCAGCTTTATGACTAAAAGTAGCTATCATTGATCTTTATATGTACAAGCGTTCAACTTGTACATAGTCATTTGGAAATTGACTAATCATATTTAAACACCGCCCCCCCCCCCCAAAAAAAAAAAAAAAAAAAGTGGGAAACATCAGAATGACTTCAATCGCCTATGGCTGGTTCATCACTGGAGAATCCCATACACCAATCCTAACTATTACATCAGTTAAAGCTGAATGCTTAGTACAATTTGAAAAACAAAAAGCAAAATCATTCAGCTTATGGTGGACTGGGCATGAGGGGAGGGCATCTTATCACGTGACGGCTAAAATCTTCCCCTGCTTTGGACAATAAAATACATTTTAAAAATCCTTTTAGACGAGTAAAAAGTCATTGAAAGGAGTATCCTGCAACTCAGGATTTAGCCCCAGTGAGCAAACCATTTTTGGAGCCTGATACTTAAACCAAGCACTGGGAAAAGGAAAACCTAGAAATAAACAAATACAACATTAAAAAGAAATATATATATATGATGTTCTATAAACAGTCCACAAGCCACTCAATAGACTCCTCCTGTTTGCTGCTGAAATACATCAATAGTGTCTTCATCCTCCATCTCCAACTGCAACAGACAGTCACAAATTAGTTAGGCACAGTATCCATTTGTAAAAAATCATCTTCAATTGCTATTAATGAGTGCTTTATACAGATCCTTAAAAAAAACATCAGTGGCAACGACAGAAATTACACCGCACGTCTCCACAGAACTGTCCATTATGGCACACATGAACTTATTCCCATTTTCTCTTCCTGGTTGTTACCGAATAATAAAAAAAATATTTGAAAAATCCCCTGGTTTAAAAACCTGAACAAAATAGTTCAAAACTGGGTGTTTGTCGAACTGGAAACAAAGAAAACTAATGACAAAAAAATGTCTATTTAATGAGATGGACAACGACTTTTTAGCCTAAGAAGTAGGAAGGGGCAACCATTTCCTCAGGAAACAAAAGCCATCCAACTTTGGCACAACGATACTGGACACGCACGTACACAAATATATATATATTTTTTAAAAAGGGAACAATTGAAGACTTATCCAAAAGCAAAACAAATACTACTGAAAAAGCTACATGAAGTGCAAGTTGTTTTTTTTCATTTAAATGTTTCTGCACTTTTAACAGCTGCACTCTGTGATGAGTGAGATGAATGCATTGCATGAAGCACCTTAAAGTTCAACAATAATCTGACTGTGTGGCATAACAGCCACAAAATGTTGGTAGAATTTCAGCGCGTGACCGAAGCAGACATGCATAACTGTTTCACAGACTGTTTTTCACATTGAAAAAGTACATGGTGACAGTTATGCAAAAAGCTGTAGATAGGCTAGGATGACAACTTTATCAGCAGTGGGGCATGGTCCATTTTTTCTGATGCGAGTATCTGGGCCCAAAGCTGAATTCGTTCTTAGAGGAGGGATGTACAGCTTTCTTTTATTTTAACCTGCCGTTTAAATGTCTTTAGTTAGGGTAGTGCATGGACATTCAAATTAAAGGTGCCAGCCAACTTATGCTAAAAAGAACACAATTCAAGTTATACACAATTTCTTTATGAACTTCTATGCAACATACTGGACGGTGTTTTACCAACCTGTGCAGGTGTGTCCGTTTCATTGATCGGCTGTCCATCGAACCTAAACCTTATCTGACGAATTGACAATCCCTGAAAAATAAAAATACACATAAGTGGCTATAGGCACAGGGTAAGCATTTCTTAATGAAACAAAACATATAATGCTGTCTGATCACTCCAGGAAATAGGCACTAAATGTTTCTTTCAGGATGAACTTGCCTGTCTTTCGCAGTATGCCTTCATTAGTTTGCTGAGTGGGGTATGCCTTTTGATTTTGAACTGAACCACTGATCCGTCCTGACCAGCTACCTTGAGGTTAATGTGGTCGTTCTCCGTCTTCACTCCTTCCTGCAACACAGGCGGCCATCAGCACATTGACCGCACCAGCCGGCACCCGTTAGAATACTGCTCAAGCGATCAACGCCATTTAACTAGGCGAAGGACATTTACCAAACACACACACACAGTCCAGGAGTCAAGAACTAAATCCCGCACACAGACTGCTTTGGGCTCCCTTAGAGGTTAGCATAGCTAGCTAGTATGTGTTCAAACTGGCGCAGAGACACAATGGCGCAAATGACACGGGGGTGGGGGTATAATTCAATCCATTAGCGACCTCCCAAGCCAATATTACTTGGTATTGTTTGCTGAACCGTAACCCAGTACGAGGCATAAGCGAATATTAATTTCTAAAAGCACCAAAAATGCACCAAGTTATGCGTTTCAAGCCAAAACCTCCGCTAACCTTTGTTTTCGTCTACCCGCTCAAACTGAGGGACTGTAGCCTGCAAATAGGGTTAGCTTAGCCCAGCATGCTAACATTAACATACAACTGACTCATCACAGGCTCTAAACAGAAGCAGTGAATAAAATACTCGGTGTAAGAAGCCCACCACTGACCTTTGGCTTTTCTTCAGACATTCTGCTACTTTCTCAGGTAATTATTACTAACGAGGAGACCAGGCTGTTAATGGTGAAGCGGGCTATCGGCTCCTCCGGCTCTTTCGTTTGGAGCAGGAGCGCGCACCGCCCTACAATTTGAAATGTAATTCGACCAAAGAGGTCACGTGCATCGGGGCTGCGGATACGTGAACGCGCATAGAAATTTGCGCAGTCCCGTGAAAACGGCAACACAAGAGCTTTGAATCGACAAAATAGTCTTAGAAGAAGGCCAGTAATTAAGTAATTGATTGATTGGTTAACTGATTGGAGCACGTGAAGGACTTTACTATCACAACTTTAATGAAAATGAAGAAAAAATGCAGATCATGTAAGCTACACAATGCTAAGGCATAAGCAGATATGTTACATATATTTCATGAGATGGAAATAAAAGATTGCCTCAGGATACTTTTCCATTATATGAATAAATATAAAAAGTCATAAGTTCATAATATTCACACAGCAGGCCTGAGCTGAAACACACCACGTCTCCAGGAAGTCGCAGATTTGGAAAGGTTAGTTCTTCTTTTTTCATTAAGTATTTGATGTGTAAATATATTTTGCTACTTTGCATGATTGTTTTTTTTGTGTGTATTTTTAAATCATCAGCTACACTAATTATGTGAAAGGGAAGTTCTAAATGTGAAAGGTGAGGTTAGAGGTTAGGCTTGTGAC